ATTTTCATATAATCCTGAACTGTATGAAAAACATGAATATTCATGTGTATCCATGTGTGAAACATGAAAAACATGTGTCTGCACCATATGTAAAACAAACGGTCTGCTTTTCTTAGAGACACATATAGGTTTCTTACCATAAGTTTTACATACGTTTTACATGTCATGCATTTTTACCTGTGTTTAGTTTATGACCAGAAATACGTTTTGTTCTATATAATCTAAAATAATTACATTTGTCGTTTATATGGTTGTTTAACAAATTCATAAGGTACAGGTATTTATGTCATGAAATGTGTTATTTATAACAAATAATACATAATGAAATGAAGATAGTCCGGTAATGGTTCATTCAAGTAATTCTTAAGTACTCATTGTGTATTTCATCGTGTCATTTTAGTTACTTTTAAGTGTTTTCTTGATTTTTTCTTGACCTCTGTGAAAAACAAACAAACAAATAAAAAACAAAACACTAGTTTTTCTAATTTAGTTCTATTTTTAAATTCATAAGAACTGAAAGTAACATACCTTTAACTTTTTTCCAAGTTTGTCTGGACAGTTTATTGCTTTGTTAAATATTTCAACAAAAAGAAGAGAATTCTAATATGTCTGCCTTTAACCTTGAATAACGTCCTGATAAACAAGTTTGATATTTACAACGGCTTTGTTCGAATGTAAGCTGATAACCCCTTTATATTTGATAGTGTCGTATAACTTTCATACTTACGATAAATTCATTTACACATTTAGATAACAATTTACAATACTGGAAGTATCTTTTAATTGCCAGTCCTATACACAGGTGAACGTCGCGTGGCCATGACTTACACTATACCCCCGTTCCCCCTTCTACAACCCAAAACCCTAAACATCATCCAAACATCATAAGTATTGACAAAAATAAATTTTATGAAAACAATTTTTTATGACATTTCTATGCAAAATGAAAGTAGAGAAAATACCTTTTTATTTTTTTAGTCATAAATTTTTTTTTTTCATAAAATTTATTTTTGTCAAAACTTATGATGTTTGGATGATGTTTAAGCGTTTTGGGTTGTAGAAGGGGAACGGGGGTATAGTGTAAGTCGTGGCCACGCGACGTTCACCTGTTGCGGCGTCCAATTTTGTTTGGAGAGCTTATGTTATGTTACTTAACGATGAGATATAGTGATATGCGTTCAAAGGTTGTCTCTATGTCAAAGATCGAGGTCACACTTTGAAGGCAGGTGTAAATGTGTGTTTGGAGCAAAACCTGTACATGGTTTGTGGTATTTACATATGACATGACTCCATTACGGAGCAAATAATCTTGCACAGATTCAGAACCCTTCGTCAAAGGTCAAGGTCACACATGAAAAACAATACTCTAATTACGCACGCGAAAATGGCTGCGAAGGAACGGTCAACGGTGCAATGTAAACCTATAGAATAATCTGATAGAATGCTACCTAGACGAATGTCTGTTTAGATTTGTGCAGTTTGGGGGCGTTACGACACGAAAATTCCATTATGTCCGTACTAGAAGTACTCGCTTTAAACTTTGACAGGACGGGTATGATTCAGTCAATGTCGTAATGTGCCAAAATCCGATACCATGTGTCTTATTTATATATAAACAGTGTTGCTTGTAATTGCTTATCATAATTCCTTGAACATTAATTAAATATATCCCAATCAAACGATATATAAACTTTAAATAAGCAAATGATCAACGATAAAACATCACATTTAAGCATAAACGCAGTATATAAAACATTTATGGCATCAGACCTGTTACCCAATCTAACCAAAATAAACAGTACACATATAGTATATAAAAGGCGTATATTAAAGTTTTTGAAACCATAACTATAGGTCCGCATAGCACTATCCAAATCATCTCAAAAGAAAATCCAAACAAAACTTTAAAAGATAAATTTCTTCAAAACGAACTCTCCTAGTTTCTTAAAAAAAACAAATGGATATATTGAAATATTCAGATGTTTTACAACTGTGAAATGCAACAACTCTTACAACGGGAGAGGAACTGTAACACGAAGGATGGAGTTCTTATGATAACTTGTCAGGAGTCCTTGTGATAACAGTCGTGGAGTTCCTCGGAAATTTTTTGTATATACTACTACTAAAACACTCGCCAAAATTGATAATTTTTATCTTTAAAAAGTGTGTTTTAGGTGCTAAATTATTAAACTTTAATGATTAAGTTTGCCTTACATCTTGTATTATGTGTCAAAGCCTAATTCACAGGCCATTTTTCATCGCCTCTTGCTTAAAATCTGGTAGTTTTAAGTAAAATTTCCAAATTATTTGCCAACTCGCAAGTATTGACCTATTTATTTCTGGTCTTCATCCTTGCCATACAAAATTACCTAATTGTAATGCAAAATTGCAAACATACAGCCCCGGCTACCAAATTTATTCCCGATTTTTCAAATGTCCTTAAGTTCTTGTGATAAATTTAATTACTGTCATTGTGTTTCTTGCGGTAAATCACGACACGTTGTAGCGTTTTGTGTCATTCAATAAGGTTGTAAATCATTAAATGTAGTACACTCATCCTTTGCGCAAAAATCAGGAGTCTTAAGATAATAATGTAAAGGAATATGAGCGTTCAAGTTCATTCTCAATAATAATAATTCTTACAGAATGCACTTGTTTGGTATACATTACATATAATTGATTATGAGATGGAAAGATTACAACACTGCCATTGACATGTGTTGAAATCAAATGATTTTAGTAGTTGATAAAATGTTTAATACTTTTTATTCATGTTAAATTCCTTTTCATATTATGTTTTATCTGTAGAAGAACTATTTCTTTAACTGAAAAATTCATTTCAATTATTGTTGATACATTGTCATATTGTTATTGATATAGTAAATCTACTGGTCCTTGAGGATTACTCCATGCCAAATGTTACATTTACCCATTCAGATCAATACTTGATCAACTAAAAAACATTGTTTTCTGTCCTTATCGAAAGCGATGATTTTTTTGCCATTAAACAGAAATAGGTCTGTCAAAAGAATGGTCAAAACTGTCACAGAAAATTGTTTGAGTCTTCTGATACTTTTCTTCCTTTAGAACATTCAGATAAGTCGTCAAGAATGCAATGACTACATTTCTAAGCACATCGATTCAATTTTCATATTTCATTATTTTATTTGCATGCACTGATTTTACAATGTCCATGTCTTGTATTTTTTTTATCAAGTGACAATACTACACAACATATCGAAAATTTATACAATATCCAGATAAAGTGAATTGAACTGAAAGCTAAAAGCTTATTGTAAATCTCTCCACATTTAAAACACAGTGTATAGTTTTTTGGGGTGGGGTGGGCGATATTTAAACGTAAAGTAGTATTCAAGATATGTAAGTATGCAGTGGAGATGTTTGACCTAACAAACTTCGAATGTGGAACAGTGTATTTAAAATCAAATGGATTCATTAGCAAAATACAAAAAGAAAACTATATACTGTGACGACGCATTTACATCCTGGTCTATTTCCAGGACAAAGATTATAATAATATCTAATATTTTGCTTTTACATCATCACGACATATATTTTCAACTGTTCATTTCTAGTGTATACTTGAAAGGTATATCAAGCCCTCCAAGTATATCATTATAGAATTTGTCAAATCTTTCATTTTGTGCCACAGTAAAATGCGTCTTCCAATCACCAACCGTTCCTGAAAGAGAAAAAACAACGACATTTGGGTTACATGAAATAATGTATACGGGGTCACGTGATGTCTTCATCAACAGTATAGCTTGCAATGTACCATACTACTTGACAGATAAAACCCCAACCAAACAAGTTTTACGCCAACCTGTGGCATATGATAAATTCATATTGTTTCCGTTATAGTTACTCGGTGACATTTATATATTTTCACAATTCTGCCTTATTTTAAGGAAAGGCTCCGGAAAATTAAACCAGACAGTTTAGCAGACACTTGGGAAATCTTGGACGATATTTAATTTGGTCATTGTAACAGTGAAGTTCTCCACGGCTACTTCTTATTTATTTTAAGTCCTATGACAATAATATTCTAAGAAAATATGGAATACAATACAAAAACCTTTTAATATAATAAAATGCTATACAGTATAATCGTTGTGTAATACTTGTGTGTAGAATCAATATAATAAAATTAAAAGCAAATTTACTATATCAACATACCGGTGGCAATATGCATACAACCATTAACAAGCCAGGCCAGTTTGCAATTGGTGCACGCAGGTTCGAGCCCACGCTCCACCATTAAACAATGACAATATCTTTTTCAGATAAAAAAGAAAAAAATAAGAATCCTTAAATAAAGTCCAAAGCAACAATACTGAAAATTCTGCAGGCTCGGTTTGATTTGTTCATGGACGGTAATGTAAAGTGCAAACTACCGTCCTCGCCCCTAGCACCGGCTTAAGCATAATTCACTATTTAAACACGAAAATGGTGACATTTTGAATTTAGAAACATCCGCGGATATGTTCATAAAATTTTAAAAACCTTGATCCCATGTATCGTTATTTGACAAATAGAAAGTAAAAGATTTGATATATTCATGCACTCTGAAAACTAAAACATCTAACGGTCTTCTGGGGCGTCGCAGATATGGGAAACTGAAATGCGACAGTGAATAAACAGAAATAAATATGTGCAGTGAAGTTAGGTTAAAGAGACTCCATTGAGATTTTTTTGACATGACTGGACTGTAAATTAATTTTTCGAGATAAGTGGTCTATTTCATGTAGGTCTACATCAGAAACTTGTGTGCATGATTTCAGATCATTCACTAACTCTGTTGTCTTTTTCAGAGTTATTATTCTTATTGTGAATAATGGCCCAAAATTGAAAAGCGTTGCAACGCTTTTTTACTTAAAATCGGTCTAAGAGTGGCACAAACGTACGATTTTCTATTTATTTCTGGGCCAATATCTTATTTATGTTTTGCATATCTTCCTATTTAAGTGCATGCTGCAATTGGTCTATGTAAGAATTTTAGGCTTTTGGACCTCAGTGGAGTTTTCTTTTAAACTTCATAATGAAATTCGATGAAATTGATTTTGGACGTTTAAATTTCAAAAGCGAATTCGTCACAGATATATGTGCAATATGTGTTTATGTACTGTAAAATTACAGTTTCTACATATAATCGTATATGAATAAGTACCTTTTCTAAGAAGTGGTGAGACTTTTGCGTTGATAGAGTACACATCTAGATGGTTGGTCATTGGATTTCTTTTCATGCTTTCAAACTGGCAGTGCTCCACAATTCTTGTTAACAAATCACCGGATAGATCTTTATCCAGAAATTTACATATTTCTGTAACCTCTCTGTGCAGGTCTTCTTTCATGTCTTCGTAAAATACAATTTTAACGTTTGACCGATCTCTTAATTCCCACCAACTCTTAGTGTAGTCAAACCAGGACCCGTGGTCAACTAAATATTGAAAAGTAGCTGTTTTTGATTGAGAGATAAAAAATGGTATACACAACAGATGCAGAACTGTGTAATAATAGTTAAAATAAGAACGAGTAAAAGGAAAATAAAGCCATTGCTAAATTAAACGATTTGAATTGTGTTACGAAGTTATACATGCATGCTTTTAATTTGCCATGACCAATACCCAACTCCTCTCGTTCCTGGATATATGGAATTCAGTAGCTTATAGTCATGCTGTACAACTTCAATTATAAACTTTAATTATAACAGTAAAACTTTTGAATGATTTATTGAGGGAGCTTGCAAGTCACGACAGATCAATGCGTCCATATTTAGCCCGATCATATTAATTTAGTTAAAGCATTTAGTGTGCGATTCTTCTACAGGAATCTGAAAGCAAATGCAAGAAATATTTAGTTGGCTTTTTTTATCTTACCATGTCCCTCCATGAACATGTCGAAGAAATCTTCCCAAGTTCCCGTAAACTTTCCAAACGATGAACTAGACCGGTAGAAATGGTAATAAGAAACGCACAAGTCTTTTGGGTTCCGGAATAAAACTATTATCTGTGAAAATATTAACATATCATATGTAACCACTTCGATAGTGTATTTTTAAAAATCTTGAATTTGTAAAAATGTAGCCATAACTAATACAATTCCATAATGGTATTGAGAAACTTGATAAAAAAAAGGGTCATATATTCAAAGAAAGAGCGTATTTTGTTATTTACCTAGATTAACAAATGGTCTATTTAATATTTATTGTATAATAATATGGGAACACTTGATGAAACACCTTCCATTAATCAGCCTAAGATATTCATGAATTTTAATCAACAACAGTTATGATAATAAACGTAGTCTTTTCTATTTTTGTTGGGTTTACGTCGCACCAACACAGTATAGGTCATATGGCGACGTTCCAGCTTTACTGCATGGTGGAGGAAAACCTCAGGTGCCCTTCCGTGCATTATTTCATAATTTCAGGCACGAACGGGCACCTGAGCCGAGCCACCGACGTTTCGTAAGCTAGTTGGATAGTTTCCTCACATGAAAGAATCTAAAGTCTCTTTCGTGATTCGAACCCACAGCGGTGATGAGCAAGTGCTTTGATATAAATTTTACCGCACAATTTCCGCCCCCTTCATTTATTCCAATTGTTTCTTACCTTACAGTCTTTTTCCTGAATTTGTTTTGGCATTAGTTTAACTGGTAAATGGCTCTTGATCACCCTTGGTGACGCCATTGGATTAGCAATGTCAAGGCCAACCTCGTTTAGAACTTTGTCCTTGAACTCTAAAAATGGTGACCGGAAGTAGACAGGTTTTCGGTAAGCGCCATCAAAATCCCCATCATGCATTATCAGCCATGCTATTTCCTGTAACCACGTTGTTCCTGGAGAATACATGTCAAATGTAAGAGGTCTCTTTCTCAACAGATTGAAATAATTTTGTTTCTCGCTAGACTGTAGTCTACTAAATTGTATTGTTGAAGAATAAGTTAATTGAGAACATTTAACTTTAATTTACGGATAAATTTAGATTTGTTCTAATATATTTAGTTGCTTTTTTTTCAAGAGGAATTTTAGATGTATTGTTTTACAATTTCTAATAATGAAGTTGCAGGCAAATGTAGACAGATTTAAAATCTATAATAACCCATAATCAGCTCGCTTCGGTACAAGTATGGATACAATTTGATAATGCCTTAAATGTTTGATATCTGAGGTGTCCCATTGTTTTTCATAAACAACATAGCAAATGCTCATGTTAACATTTGACATCGATACATTTAACTGTTTTTATTGGGATTTTATTGAAACAACAACTATGAAAGCTTCAAGGAGCTCAGACAAGTAAAACCCATTAGACTCGTTGCAGTCACATTGATTTCTCGTAATGTTCCTGTATTTTGATACATGTTAATGGAACATTGATGGAAATTTATTGAAATGAAGGCACTTTTGGTAGAAATACAAACTATTCTAAATCAATTAAGGTCCTGCAAAAGATTAGGAATGTGTTAGGCCGAATAAGATAATTGTTACAATGAGACGAACTTAACTACATGTATAATATTCACGATTCACAGCTTATTAAAGTTGTACAATTCTCTGTTCTCTATATTGATAATACACGCATATGCATTGTTAATACTATAGTTTGATGCACTACAAAAGAAACAGATGTCGGTTAGTTTATTTGTTTAGTTTTACAGTATAAGTCATATTGCGCCGAAACAGGAAATATCATTTTGGCTGTGCTGCAACCTTCAAAGCAACACAATGTCACCTGCTGCAGCTAAGAGATGCATAGACTCAAGTTATTCGAACCCATTTACGTCGACTCTTAGATCACAGAGGGATAAACGGTGGCTGCAATTATTATGTCTCAATCATTTAAAGCAACCTCAGCCACAGCAGAAGTTAGTATATCGTCAGTATTGAAATGTATTCCTTTATAAATAAAAAATGCCAATGATTGACAAAAATGAAGCGGTTTCTAAAAGTATGACAAAGAAAATGTTCAGTCAGAAATTGCAACTGGCATTTAACCTAATGCGAAATTGGCTTACATATTTACTACCACAAAATTAAAAAAAAAAACAACAATTTAATGACCTAAAATAGGTTTGCTTGCATACGTTTTTGTTCGACAATTTCACTGGATGTAAGGTTACATATGGATCTAACATTTCAATTTGCACGAAGGTTACCACTGATAATGAACTACAAAACGTAATTTGCACGCAAGGTACATACAATAATTACTCACGTGACGCGCTCGGAAATAATTTCCGGGCACATACGTGCTTCCACGTACTATTTTTTCATAAATTAACGCAAATGTAACTCACAGTCCAGGAATATTAAAAAACGAAAGAAAAAAAAAACTTTATATATTATTGTCGTGGTTACCGGCTTTAGGATATGTTGCTATGATGACGTCATCATTTCTCACTTGGAAGTCTTTCACAGCGTCCAGAATGTCGGCAGGGGTATAACCGAAAAACAGAACATCTTCGTAAACGTGTTCCCCTTTATTAAAAAGAGATAAAAAAAACCTTTTTACTCCGTAATTAGTATGCAAAACGTATGGAAGTTTGATATCTCCATAAACAAAATCAAATTCATATATTCTGCGAATAAATAGATCAGTTTGTGATTTACTTTTATGTTTTGAACAGCAAAAGATTTAAATAAAATCAAGAAACAGAAAAAAATGGCAATTAAAACATAATAAAGCAAGGAAAATGAACACACAAAACCCAACAACATAAAAGTCTGAAACATCCATAAGAAAACTTGTTTTACGTTCCTTCAAATCCGTACCTTTACAAACATCAATATAGTAAATTCAGTAAAAAAAAACAGCTGACCAAGCTATACTTTATATGTTAAAACACCTATTTAGAATTTAATGTAAAACACATTTTTACTCATGAAATTAATATTTTCTTCTTCATTTATGATTATTTTTAAAAAGTAAAATACAGAAAATGCTTACCTGGTAAAATATGTCGGTACGTTTTCTCGGCTCCCTCGCATTGTTCCTGATCTTTTTCACCCATTTCTAATAATTGTGTGCCAGTTATGATTTTTGAAATCAGTTTTGACACGATTTATTCATTAAAATCACAAACGCCTGCTAACATTGATCACATGTAATCACTGAATCAATGTTTTAATAATAAAACACGATGGACTAATGCATTTTCTATATTTATAGACAATTTGTTCGATAACACAGGGGTTTGTATTATTGGATAGTGAAACAATGATATCCAATTTTCTATAAACATCATTTCAAACAGTTGTTAAAATCAATTTATGGTGTTAAGTTGATGAATTATAAATTAACGATTTCATTTGAATAATTACACAACAATGAAATCACGAATTCTAAATTTCAACACATTTTCTTTATGGTTTAAGCTACATGAATCGACAATTTTCAGTTGAAAATGTGGATTCATGAAACTGAAAACACGAATTCAACAATAATGCTTCAATCGTCGAAACAATATTGTCATGAAGATGTAACCGTGAACGTATGAAGTTAGGATGTAATAGTGACTAAATGAAGTAAAGATGGCACCGTTTAATTCATTAAACAACACATATTGTCAGTGCAAATGGTATAAATATAAATGTGTCTTCTGTAAGGGAACAAGTCTGTAAAAGACGACAAGCCCATTATGTATCGGATTCCGTTTTTAACTTTACCAGAAAAAAAAAATTGTACATCACTTTTTAACTAAACTCAACGGAATACATCTCCGGTTACCACTAATCATAAAAGTTTTAAACCGATGTTTGACGTGAGAGGCCGCAAAGTTGCGATTGAGACAACTAAACAGAAATGGGCAGAAAATCTCAATATATACAATCGGAAATCAATGCCCTGTGGTAAAACTCTGCGACGATTTTATTACTGATGTTGACAGTAAAGCTTGGAGGCAATGTTAAAGTGATCGCAGATACTTATTGTTGATAGGCAATCATCTGTATTAGCTCGTTAGAGAACTAAGTGGAATATTGGAGAGAGAAAATATTTGTTTTTTATTAGCATGACACTTGATTTACGGGAAGTTTTAAAGACATAAGCTGTCGTCGGTAGATTGCATGAATAAGCTTTTTCTTTGCGAGAGTAATGGTTATCTTACAGGCTGTACTTCGCTTCAAGAATGCTTTAAAATATACTTTGCTGTGGCTTACTTTACTCTAACCGTGGCTTGGTCCTTCCCGAGTGTTCTGTTCATGCAATAATATTATCAATGATAACATACCGTACTTTATAACCTGTCCTGTTTGATTTTTTGTTTTAACGTGTTTTTGTTTCCGAAAAAGGAGAATAGCCTCGTTGTGATATAACTATATATAATTTAGGGTTCTCGGTAGAACTTTATCAATACTGATCACAAGCGAAGTTTAAGGCAAGCGTAAAATGGCTGCAAAGGAATGGTCAGCTGTGCACAGCATACTATTAGAACAACCAAAGTAGACGAATGTCTGTTTAGATGTGCGAAGTTGTTGAAACCAAACGGAAACATAACGACAAGAAAATTTCATTACATTGTATTATAGTTGTACTCGTCTTTTACTGTGACACGACGGATACCCTTTAGTCAATGTAGTATTGTGCCAGGAATCCAACACCATGTTTATTTATACAATGTATATAGATAGAGCTTACACGCTCGTAATGGTTTATCCTAATGCCTTGGACATTATTTATTTTATTCCAATTAAGCGATACCTAAACGTTTAACAAGAAAATGACAACATTAAAAAATCAAATTTGAGCATAGACATAGTATGTATGTATAAGACATTAAAGCATTATACCCGTTACAAAATCTAACAAAAAAAAAGAAAAAAGAAAAGAAAACAAACAAACAAAAAAAGACAACACACACACGTGTGAGCTCGCTTTACTATATTACTTTATAAAGGCGGCTTTTTAAGTTTTAAGCCGCACAGCACTATCCAAATCATATCAAAAGAAATACAAAACTTAAAAATAAAATATATTTACATTTAATTTCTCCAAAACAAACTTGTTTCCTAGTTTCTAATAGTTAACAAACTGATAGTTTAAAAATTTTCAAAATGTTTTTTATTACAACCCAAATGAAAAACCCTTTTTTTGGGCCCTTTTCCTTAAATTTTCGGATAAAAAATCTCAACAAGCATAAATTTACACAGAACAGATAACGGTTTTTCGGTCAAAAACCTACGCTAAGAAACTAAACATGTAAGCAAATGGTAATTCAATGCTGGAAGTTGTGTACAAGTTTATTTCCAATATATTGTAAGGACCTACCCCCCTAGGGTAGTTACCAAATCCTTATTAATCAGGATACCGGCCACTGTATTAACTAGCAAGTGTATGGCAATATTTCTACCCCATATTACATACACTTACAAGTAGCTGTTGTTTTAAACATCAGACATAGCTTCAACACATCTTAGTCATCTTTGTAGTATACCAATACATCATAAGAGGTAGGCTCAGATCATAATAGAGACATCATAGTTTCATCAAGGGATCCTTTGTATCTGGTCTTCTTGTCAGGATATTTATATAACCAGGATTTATACAACCTATTACATATGATAGAGTGTACAAATATAGGTAAGTCCTGCATTGGTAACACAGGACACTGGTACAAGACATCAGTAACTCGATTAACATGTAAACGTCATTTAATAATGTGACATCATATATAACAAGTTAGCGCATCTCGATAAATATGTATATGATATTCGCTGACAATACTACTCTGTGACGTAGATCTATCGATATAAACGAATTAATATCGGGCGGCATTAACAATTCTTCTTCGATGGATTAAATACCGGCATTGACAATACTCGACAATAGAGGACCTAGGCTTATGCAATGGGATCTTCTTCGGTTATGAACATGTAGTTACAAATAAATGTAAAGTATGACAGGGTGTTGGAAATTCATAAGACCAATACATCTTAGGGTCTGCCATAACGTGATAATTCATATTAAGTTCAGCATCAAATAAATTTGTAATAGACTTCAGTAAGTAAACTGTTGTTGTTTACGATAGTACTGGATAGCTTAACGCTCAGCAAATAAAGGTAAGTTATTATTTATCCAATATATAGTAGATACCTTATAAGTAAGCAAGTAAGTGGTTGCAGGAAATATATATATATATATATCAGACGTAATGTGACTTGAGGCTCAAAGAATTTAAGCTTTGTAGCTTTGGTACTTCTCAAGTTGTTACGATTGAGAAGAAGATGCCAAGTGACGACAGTCACCCCTATTTATAAACTTTTGGGACGCTACAAAGAGTGCTCCAGCCAATGAAAATCCTGGCTTAAGACTAGGTCCAGTGATCAGTCTAAAACAATATTTAACAATATAGCAATAACAATAAAAGTTCTAACAGACATAAGTAGCACATATATGGCTTAATTGAAAAGCCACATAAACATATCTGAAATAACATTTAAAAATACATATTAACAAAAAGCCGGTCCAAAATACTCGAGCGTAGTAATATATGCAGACGTATTCTATAACGCAGATGAAATACAGTTCTCACTTAATAAAATATGATAATGACAGAAAATCATCCGGCTCAAATCAGGCTTACAATTATTTTTACATAAATAAGAAATCCTAAAAGTTTAAATGTAAACAAATATACATTCATAAAAAGCCAGACTGAAATACAAATAAGTAGTTCCAAAGTTCTGTGTCCGCCATTTTTAAACATGGAAAATGACAGAAGAAAGCACCGTCTGAATCGTCCGATAATGTCTGTAGATATTCACTTTGTGATATATTATAGTAACTGTAAATGTTCCAAATTATTAGATATTCATCAGGAAATAAATTAGGGTCATCTGACCATTTTGTGGCGAGAGTTATCTATCCTAATGTGATACTCTTCTTAAAAGAGAACTGTCAACATTGCTGATATTCAAGTTTTACGTTGTGTTTCGTGGAATAAAGTCCATTTGTTAAAAAGGTAGCACTATTTGATAATTGTTAATACATTTTAAGTAAGAACAGTTCATGATTTATAGAATTATATATGCACATGTTGATTTCTGTTGAAAGTATAACGTAAATTGTCATGTCATTTGAAATGTCCATAATTTGTAAGGGAGGTATTTCATTACTCGCTCCCCACCTTAAAGAATTAGATACTCCTGTATCTGTTACACATATATTTTAAATTTTAAAGTCCATGATAATGTCATTAAATTATTCACTTACGTTTTTTATTTTAGTTAAAAATTTACTTTATATTCCAGGTCGATGTGTTGAGGTTCAGATCCTGATTGGAATGTGGTTTATACTTTGGAGGAAATCTCTGTAAGGTCCTGCTTGTGCTGAGAAACTATTTTGATATCCAGCTTCATAGATGGCGATAAGTTTGTCGGCTCCAACAACAGGTTTCTTCTGAGCAATATTACGGACAATGGTGAAGTTTGTATGGCGGAGACGAGCCTCGGCTGAAGAAGTCTCAACATCTCTGGTTTCTGGGAGAGCCAAAAACTGGAATGCGTCCAAAATGTAATGTCTGTCTAAGGGAAGACCCAGTGAAGTGCCAACTGTCGTCTACAGAAGAAGTTTATTGTCTGGACTTAACGTTCTCCAGTCTTCTGGTGACCAAGTGGTGATTGGACCTGGGAGTGGAATCTCTATAGTAGCTACTTTTTCCCAGTCACGTCTTGCTGGAGGGAAAAGTGGCATCTCCCCAGACATCAAAAGTAATGTTGCTATAACTTCATTTGAAATAAGGTTATTTTCAGATTCAGGTTCAGAAGTTGAAATAGTTGGAGCTGGCTTCTCAATTGTGACAGTCGGAAAGCGAATAGTTGTAGAACTGTCCATTGAAGATACAATGTCACTGTGTTTTGATCTTTTCTTTGCTGATGTAGAAATAGTGGCTGGAGTAGAAGTGGATGACATGTTAACACTGGAATACACAGTTGAAGAAGAACAAGAAGTGGCAGCAGATGTTAATGATGATGATAATGTAGTTGATGAGAGGACAATCTTATTAGCAGTAGTAGATAACACGATGTCAGGCATAGCTGATGTTGCTGTAGAAGAAGATGATGTAGCTACAGTTTCAGTTGAAGTTGTTATAGAGGAGACCGGAGAAAGAGGCTGTTTATGTGGCGACTCTGGTTCTACATCATAAAAATCAAGGTCAGGTTAATGTAATGGTGAGAGAATAGGAGGCATTGACAGTAGGGAAGAAGTAGATAATGGCGAGATTGATC